TTTTTTTTATCAAAGTATACTAAAAGTCTATTTTTTACGCAAACGAAACTAGGGCAAAGATAAATCTTGCTTCACTGGACTCACACGCAAAAATTTATATCTTTCTATGAGTATTATCAACGTTATGTGATAATATAAGGAAAATTTTAGATATAACTTTAAAACTAGGAGCTCAAAACTACACTATCTAAAATGTTGGAGAGCACATTCCTAATTTTTCATAATTTAAGGAAAATTAGATTGTTTTCGTTATTGAGAATTGATTGTGCAGTTATAATTAAAAGTTAATAACTGACTTGATTATTCAACAATAAAAAGAAGAAGGTACGACTGAGTTGCCACTAGGATATTCAAGGTGAAATTTTACCTATTATAAATTCAGGCCCCGTTTGGTTTGGATTGAAATTCACTTAAAATTTCAAGTCAAAGTTAATAATTAATTTTAACCACACATTTCATCAACTTTTATCAAAATCTAAAAAATTCGATTTTAATCTTCACCAAACAAGGGCTCACTAAAAGTCAGGTATCAAAATTGACTTTTCCAGATGAAAAATGTCGACTGAAGATTTCACGATTTTCGAAAATGTGTTTAATTGGATTTAGATACGAGAAAATGTAGGAAATCTGATCCCAACCCAACTGCACAATCAATCAGAACCCCCATTTTATGGCGTGAGTCGCAAAATGTATTGAAATCTGAACTACAAACTCTACCTAGAAAGCCAGTCTATCACGCTCATTCAAAATTTGTCGTACCATATATTGTAATAATTAATTAATTCAACCACACATTTTATCAACTTTTATCTTAAATACATTAAAACTCTAATTTTTATCTTAATCAAATAGGAGCTTAATGTTACGTATTTAGTCTTCAACGACACATTAAGCCTATGTTTATAAACATTAAAATCACTTTTACTTTTTGTCCATACATTTTGTGAGATTCACATATAACAAAATCGTTCATAAATACTTCACAGATATGCTAAAATCCTTGGACTACATTGCTATTATATAAATTGAGGACTCCAAATGTAATTATCCATGTTGTACAAATTGAACAGTAAAATCAAAAAGAAGAAGAATAATAAGATAGACACATAGAATAAATGGTTCGACAATTTGCCTAAGTATACTGTACAACACAAAATTATTCATTAGCTACACTAATCAACGATCTCCATATTAGCGAATATGATCCCTTTGAAGATTGTAGCCATTGAAAAGCTCCTCCGGACACTAAATAAATTGGTTACGTCTTCTTTCTAGCACCTAGAGACGTTAATCAAATCAAAGCAATGCCTATGTCAACATGTTCATTACATTATCAGATGTGTGTACCTTCTGAAGATCCAAGTCACATGAAGTAACCAACTCTATGATTTTGTGAATCTACATACCCAACAACTAGAAACTCCTCTTGGTCTCCCAAACATGATACCATAGCACCTCTCCAGTAGCTGAAAATCTGCTTGATTGCATCCCAAGATTAGCCATATATTTGCTAACCATACCAGCTAATATATCTGGTCTAGTACCAGGGCCAGCTCAAACAACTCATTTTTATAAATTTATAAGGTCCTTAAACGTAATTTTTTTAAAATCCTAAAAATACTTAAATATTTAAATAAATAATGTATTCATATTATAAACGAAGACTTGGTACAATTCAAAATATAGAGTAGTAAAAAAAATTATCTCGACAAATCGAGAGATTAGGTAACATAATATTTAGTGGAATTATCTAGTTGATGAAAAAAAATATTATCAAAGTGTAAAATAATAATTTTCAAAATTATTAATTGGAAAAAACCCCGAGTAAGATGCAATTTAGAATCATGAGAAAATTTGAAGAACCATGATTTGAAATTCAGAAATTATTGTAAGGATGATTAGTAAAGAAAAGAGTGATTTTTAGTTACAGAGAATACAAATTTTAGGAACTAGATTGCAAAATAGTGAGAAATATACATATTTTAGACAATAATTGATGAGGTATGATTATTTAGTGAAGAGAAACATAACTAGATTTTAACTATTTTGATTCGAGAACCTTTTAATAAATTTGAGATTTTGAGGAAATTAAGTTTCAAGGTTAATAATGTATTTGGACCAAATTTGTATTACTGAGAATCGAGAATTACTCTATCCATATTGGACTCATTTCGAAACTCATAAAAAATGACACATTATGTACTTGAGAAAAAATTAATTTGAATAAAACCAAATTTTATATATCACTGCGTATCTGATTTCCAGTATTATCATCATTGAAATGTGCCAAAAAAAAAAAAAAAAAAAATTTGTTCTGAATAATATGTTTTTAATTTTACACCTTTCCATATAACTATTTTTATGAAGAAATTTCCTCATATTACTGGGAGTTGTGATGGTGTGACAAAATTAATACATATATCATTCCAAGAATGTTTGTTAAGAATGGTTATTGCAGATGGACACAACCAACATTGCGTAATAATTTGATGGAATTATATCCAATAGATTGGTGCAAATGGATGCTAAAAGCCTACCAAAAGATGGGTTTGTATCATGTGATTTGCATGTGTTTCAATTCTGAACCTGTCTATATCATTTTGTTGCATAAGGAAGTATAGCTGTGACAATGCATCATTTGCTGGTTAGTAGGTCGTCCCAATAACGAGTGATAGTAATTACAATTTAATTTAACATGAAAACAACAACCGTGACTTGATATATTTGCGTGGATGCAGGTGTGGGATCATTAAAAGTAGAGTAACCTACTTGTACAAAATTGAGTTACAAAAATGGTTGACAAAATATGTGTTGGCAAGATCTGAACCATTGATTCAAAATTGTTTTTTATATTATTGACTCAGATCTTACCAACACGTATTTTGTCAACCATTTTGTAATTCAATTTTGTACACGTAGCATTGCTCTTAAAAGTATTCAAAATGCATGATGTCGACACATTTGGACCTCTCATTCAAATCTTCGAGGTACATATTACAATCTTAGTTGTCAAAGAATAGAAGTACGACACAAGGGACATTCAAGCGTTTGGCTGGTAGACTTGAAAATTTTTTGAGGTTGAAAGCTAAACGATCATTTAAACTGAAGGTAACATAAACCCACATTTATGTTTTTTAAACTTACTAGTTTATCACATT